CACCGAAACCACAGTAATAACCACATTCCTGAACATAAGAGTTGCTTTCCTAATTCGCCCGCTGGTAGCCAGGCCTTCCCCTAAAACGTGGAATCTGCGCGAAACACAAGCGAAAACCAGTTCAGCAACCTCAAATTTCCAGGTTTTTTATATGCCTGTGAGCTGCTATTAACGTTCACCAAGGTCTTGGGTTTTGGGGGTCTCTTTTGTGGGAACGCTGCTCGCTGTCAGGTTGTGCGGATAGCAGCACGTCTCGCGATGCAGCTGAAAGACAGGGCCTTCGCAGCTGAGGCAGGGTGCCTGGAACCCGGTCTTGGCCATCGTACTTCGATGCCATGCCTTCCATCACCTGGTTTGAATATGCATTGCCACAACCAGTGGATCGGTACCAGCGGCATTTGGCTGGTGCAGCCTTTACATGACATAACAATGCAGGCACTGCAACTGCAACCGAACAGTTCTTGAACACATAGTTTTCGAAACCTATAAGCAGCTGGTCCCGTGAGCGCTCTGTGGATTGATGCCCGCAGTGGATGCCTCAGACCTGAGATGTGGAAAACTGCACAGCGTGCGAATCTCGCTGAGGTACCAAAGTCGTCGTACAGTGGCGGGGGGATTCTACATAGATGAGCTATGCCTTTGGATCCCTCTTTTGCTGCGCAAGACGAGCCTCCACCCGTGATCACCTTGGCCGATTTGGTGGCATCTACTCTGCTGCCACAGCGTGCCAACGATGAAGATGAGCTTTTCAGAGCATTAGCTGCAGAGAATCAAACGGCGCCATGCAGGATGGAGGGCGATTACTCTGTACCAGTAACTGGCATCCAGGCCAGCGAGCAAATGCCTCCAACTCCTGAAATGCGCGAAATGCGCAATCTTGCGGATGAGGTCCGACAACTGCAGCATCGTGCCGAGTTACAAGCAACATCCACACAAACCAGCAGATGCCTTCAGGACAGAACACCCATTCAATGCCTTGTACAAGCCTGTTCAAAACCTGCCAGTGCCGAGTCTAGCAGGTGTTTCCGCTCTCCCGCTGTCCCCCAGGCTTATTTGGTCGGCGTGGTCAGGCCAAAAGCAGCCAAACTACCAAATACCTCTGTGCTGGAGTCGTCAGTAGTGAGACGAAAGAGGCTCTGCCGCAGAGGGCCTAGTGGCACGTCCCAGCGTAGAGACCAGGCTAAACCTGTCGTTCATGTGGAGCCAGAGAGGCTCCAAGAAGCTGAGCAAAAACGTTTAACGTTGCAGCAGCCGGTGGAGATTCGATCCAACCCACACCGTTGCAAGAGGCAGGTGGAGAGCGTCGTGCCCCAAGTACTTGTAGTTGCCGTCGGACAGGCACAGGAGTTTCTGCTGCCTTCAGCTGAAGTTGAGGACTTTGCCCAGGCTACCGAGTCCTGGATGGCGAGGTGAGACGAGCAACCAAGCTACGGGCACTGCGGGACATGTGTCTTGCTTTTCCAAAGGATACCTTCAGATGATACTCTTCAAGAGAGACGGCAAAATCGACATCGAATTGCTGGTTGGCTTAACCTGAGAGCAGATCTCTGATGATGGCTGATAGACACTGGCACCTTCCATAAGCAGTTTCGGCACGTCAGGTTGTTGCTAATCGCATTACCTCCCGGGAGCAGCGCTCTCAGAGCATAGCAAGGGAACATAAGGGAACATGTGTGAACACTTGTGAACTTTGCAGCATGCTAGACCTTGCAGCAAGGACCATCCGAGCAGCTTTCAAAGGAAAAAGCTTACTGGAAGAGAGGCTCGTCGTATGAAGAGTTTGTTGTCTTGCCATCTTTCCCTTCAGGTGGATTGGCAATCTGGATGATTCTGAAGCCGACACAGCCAGAACCCCTGTCCTGTCGCCAAAACTGTTTGCTGATTGCTAGTTGATGAGTCTACGATCTGCCCAGGAACTCAGTGTCGCCTCAGTTGCACGGTAGCATTTTGAGTCGGCGAGTGAGCCCTGAACACAACTACAGCTCTGCGCCTTTGCTCTCCAAGATAATTGCCTGGCTGCGCCGCACTGATCTCTATGCGGACACCGTGGTTTTGCTGCAGTATGCTCCAGTAATTGCAAATATCGTCCGCCGAAGTTATTCCAATGTTTTGGAGTAGAGTGGTATTGGGACGGCAGGCTCTGACGCACGTGGAGGCCATGGGAGTAATTATGACAGTGTTGGGCAGACCTCGTCCTGGGGTGACAGGTCCTGAATTTTGTGCAGCAAATACTAGCTGGGCGCGAGGCTCGTCAAACCAGCCAGAACTAGGGTGTGCCTGTGTCCGCCGTCGTTGGCAGGTCAACGCTGTTTGCAACGTTGCTGGGCGACGCAGCAAGACTATCAGCGCGATTCAATTCCAGGTGCCGCCACATGTCACATCACCCTGACTGTTAGCTGTGAAGATACCTGCAGGCTATCATTCGCTGGATTGCCCAGCACAAGGCAGGAGCCCTTGCAACTTACCACGTGTCTATGTAGCTTCTCAATGCGGAATGCCGTCAAGGGCATCACCTACTCAGAGTGCATCACGAAACTGGTTCACCATCCTAATGAGAGGCTGTGCAGAGCACATCTTGTTTCTTTGCATGCTGTGCTTGTGCGATCCATCAGCCCTTGCTCAGAGCAGGACAAGGCTGGAGCACTATTTTCAGGAGTTTGCCCACGCCACTTCACATGGCAGCTTGGACTTAAAGAATGCAAGGTGGCTTAGCCAGCTGACACAGCACTGTCAAGGCTACATGACGGTCTATGAGTTCACCCGATTCTGTCGGGCGTACGGGCTCTTCAAACTACGGCCGGGCAGGCGCGGGGTCCCTGCTGCATCATGCTGCTTTCTCGGCTAGGTTTGCCTTGCAGGTGCAACAAAGCATTTGTCACGCAACCGGGCTTTTTTGCTCACAGGTTTGTGCAGGGTGACGTGCAGTTCTTGTTTGACAAAGGCAACTGTCGAGCAAGCAAATCTGCCTGGCTTGCTGAGTTGTGTGGTTTCTTGTCGTTGCAAGGTGGCGAGGGCAAAGCTCTGGATCTTGAAGGCTTCAGGCGAGTGCTGGAACAGGTCGGTCGTAGAAATCAGGTTGCCTTTCAGTCATCCTCTTCGCCGCAGGTTGCTGCCAGGGTGGATATGCCTGCGCAGGACGGCAACAGTGATTGCACATGGTGACACAGTCAAGAGACCGTTTCCAGGACCTACTACACTTTCTTGGAGAGAAGGATGCAGAGCGCGTGTTCCGCGAAGGATGCGGGGCAGCACCAGAGGGATCTAAAGAGACGTGTAGTGCTGAGTATTCTTCATTGTTGGGAATCTTGGAAGTTTTCACTTGACTGCGGTCATCATTTTGTTGTGCTTAATTAGACCATTTCCATCCTGACAGGAATGGACAGTGCGGGACTTCGCCGAAAAGCGGTTGTTGCCAAGTAGCACTGCAAAGATGTTCCCGGCTCGGCAGCTCCAAAGAGGGCTCCTGATCGTCACTGATGTTGTCTGACCTCAATTGGTCACAGCATACACCTGACTAAATTCTGTGACTTGCAGTGAAAAGCTCTGCAGTCTCAGATTCACATGATGGCATGATAGTTGTACAGACGACATGCCGCATGCGAAAGCAAAAGCCTCAGCGGCATCCGTTTTGCTCAAGGCTTGCATATTTGTTTTGAGGCTTGGCCTGTGCGTTGAAGCAGGTTTACCAGAGCTACCTGGAGAATATTGATGGTTCAGACTATGAAGCACTATGCGGTTTGGTGCAGGCAAGGATTCTGTCATTTGCTGAGAAAGACGCCTGGGTCTTGCAACGAATATCAGGCTCTGGCTGTGACCGATCCTGAGCGAGCTACCGAGTGCGCCCATGCTGCTCTGGAAGCATGTGTCCTTTCGCCGTGCCATCCTTATGATTTCCATCGTGATCGTCATCCCTCACCCTCACCGTCAGTCTCACCCTCACCTATCATCATCATCATCACCACCACC